ACTTATCCGTGCGATCAAATCGCCAAAATAACATCATAAACATCGAATTAAACCTCAAAATCAATGAAACATTTCAAAACTTCTTAAAACATCAAATTTTGTATTTAAGGTCTGAATCACGTCAAACGGATTCCATTTCTCACCAAACTTCACAAAATTATCTTAAATCATATATAAGACCTGCACCGGGCAGCGGAACCAAAATACGGGCCCGATACCAACATGTTCTAATCAAGATTCATTTCCGAACCTTATAAACAATTCCAGAAAATAATTTTCTTTAAAAATTCATTTCTCGGGTTTAGGACCTCGGAATTCGATTCCGGGCATACGCCCAAGTCCCATATTTTCTTACGGACCCTCCGGGACCGTCAAATCACGGGTCCATTTTCATTTTCCCAAAACGTTGACCGAAGTCAAATTAATTCATTTTATAGTCAAAGTTTATCTTTTTTTTATAGATTTTCACATATAGGCTTTCTAGCTACGCCTGGACTACGCACGCAAATCGAGGTGATGCTAGAAGAGGTTTTTAAGGCCTCAGAATGCAGAATTTATGTTAAAAACAAGTGATGACCTTTTGGGTCATCACAGTTGCAAGTATTACAAGAAGGCATGCTTTTGGGCCCTAAACTACCCGGACTAAAGCATAATAGTAGCTACGCACGGGCTCTCGTCACCTCGTGCGTACGTAGCCCCCGCAAATAGGAGCACATAACCAATTAACTCACCTATGGGACAATTCCTCATACAAGGTTAGAAAGGAGACTCACCTCGCTCCAAAGCGTACTTCCAATACCAAGAACGAGCTCAGACTCTCAATTTGGAGCCGAACGATCCAAAACTAGATAAACGAGGTAAGAACTAGTCAATACAAGCTCGCAAGATCGCATTCTAACTATTTAAGCAATTTCCCAACCTTAAACACAATTTTCCTAAAATCCGACCCCGGGCCCACGTGCCCTGGATTTCGAAATTTTTCGAAGAAAGTTGTTCTTATAACCTAAGGATCAAGAGTATATGATTTCTACTTCATTCTACAACAAATTTCGTGGTTGAATCTTGTTTTTAACAAAACCCTAGGTTTTACTCTATTCCCATGATTTTCACTAATTTTTATGTGTTAATCTACCCAAAACTCAAGTATTAAACTTACATTAATTAGAAATAACTTACCTCACCATGCTAGGCGGAATCACCCCTCCAAGAGCTCCAAAATCGCCCAAGAAATGAGTGAAAATGAACAAAAATGTCCTAGAGCCCGAATAAATGAAGGCCACTGCCTTCTGCGATTTCCGCATGTGCGGTCCTGGGCCGCACCTGCGACCACCGCTTCTGCGGAAAGAAGACTGCTTTTGCGGTCTGGGCCGCTTCTGCGGATTTAGGGCCGCATCAGCGGTCTTGGGCTGCCTGGCCTTGGGCTGCTTCTGCGATAGATGGACCGCTTCTGCGGTCTCGCACCTGCGGTTTGCAACCGCAGGTGCGGTTATGACAGCAACCAGCTGCTTCAGCCTTCCCAAAAATTCCATTTTTGATCCGTTAACCACCCGGAATCCACCCGAGGCCTCCGGGACCCCAACCAATCATACCAACCAGTCCCAAAACACATTAGGGACTTGCGAGGCCTCAAATCATATCAAACAACGCTAAAACCATGAATCGACCCCCAATCCAAGCTTTATGAACTTTAGAATTTCAAACTTCTACTTTCAATGTTTAAACCTATCAAATCACGTCCGATTGACTTCAAATTTTGCACACAAGTCATATTCGACATCACGGACCTACTCCAACTTTCGGAATCGGATTCCGACCCCGATATCAAAAAGTCCACTTCCGGTCAAACTTCTCAAAAACCTTCAAATTTCTATCTTTAGCCAAATGGCTTCAAAATGACCCACGGACCTCCGAATTCACTTCCGATCGCGCTCCCCATACCAGAATCACCATACGGAGCTACTCCCAAACTCGGAATCCCAAACGGACATCGATAACACTGAAATGCACTTCAACCCAAACTTATGAAATTTCTTCCAAAATGCTAACTTCCACAATAGGTGCCGAAATATTCCCGGGTCTTCCAAAGCCCAGTCCGGACATACGCCCAAGTCCGAAATCATCATACGAACCTGCTGGAACCTTTGAATCCCGATTCCGAGGTCGTTATAAATCCAATCTTAGTCAATTCTTTCAACTTAAAGCTTCCGAAATGAGAATTCTCTTTCCAAATCAACTCCGAACTTCCCGGAATTCAATTCCGATCATGCGTACAAGTCATAATACCTGAAGTGAAGCTGCTCATGGCCTCAAACTGCTGAACGACGCGCTAGAGCTCAAAACGGCCGGTCAGGTCGTTACACTAATCATGTCATGGCTTGAACCTATCACCTAATTGCAACTAAACTGCTCCATATATATAGTTAGTGTGGCATTTTATTTGGGTAAAAGTTCACGTATGAATAAATGAGCTCCTCCTTTTCAATTTTATAACTCATATTTCAATTTACAACCAACTAGCCCAAAAATAATAAGCTAAGATTCAACATCCAACTCCAATAGGTTCTAGAAATTACTATTTAATTTTTAAAAAAGATTGCTCAAGCTTTTAAGTTAATTTTCGAATCAGTAACTATGACTCAAATATTAGTTCAACAAACCAAATCCATTTGGATGGTGAAAATTAAATTTTTAACAAGCTTAAACATGTGGGTTTAAATTTCGAATTTGATTTTGTGAAAAATTTGGAGTGGGTGGTATTTAGACTTGTTAGGAATAGTATAAGGAAATTGTATATAAAATTTGAAATCATTTAATGGAGATTTGGACTGGTTTTGAGCAAGAATTGCAACTGAAAATCGTGGAAGAAATTCGTCTGCAGACGCTTGTATAAAGGTGTATAATAATGTATAAGATGTGTTTATACATAGGGGTGTTCATAAGAACCCGAAAAACCGAACCAAACCGAAAACCGAATCAAACCGAAAAAACTAATACTTTTTAGGTTTGGTTTGGTTTTCGTTTGATTTTGGTTTTACTAAAAAAAATAACCGAAAAAACCGAACCAAACCGACTATAAAAGTAGCTATTTAAATTTATTATTACACCTATATATATGTATATTTTATGTAAAGTTTCTAGAATCTTATGGTACATATTAGTCATTTGTACTTTTAGTCTAGTTCTTTGCTATTATAATAATCTAATTCTTTGCCTTTACATTCTAGTTTGATTGGTAGTTTTCTTTTACTAAGTACAAGAATTTATTTCATGTTAAAAATAATTGTTTTTAATTGAGTACTTAAATTCTTCATCACCATTTGATTCAATTATCATCAATATATCTTGAAATGATAGACTTTTCAGAGAGCAATTGATTTGATAGTGTTACGTTGAAAATATAGTCGCCGAGATATGCGTTTGGTAGTGTATGTCTCATATTTAAGAAAAAACCCGATAAATAACCGAAAAAACCGAAAAACAGACATAAACCGAATTGATAAAAAACCGACTCAATTGGTTTGGTTTGGTTCCAATATTAAAAAAATTGACTTACTTGGTTTGGTTTCTTTTTAGAGACAAACTGACCCAAACCGAACCATGAACAACCCTATTTATACACTCATATACACTATTATACAAGATTATACATAATTATACAATAAACCGACTTCGCCTTCTTCCTTGCGTCTTTTCTAAAATTTAACTCAAATCTTGCTCAAATCTACTCCAAATCACTTCAAATTCAAATTTTGAACTCCTTTTGATATTTTTTTAATCAATTGGAACAACACCCAATTCAAATAACTAACAAACTCAAAAAATCCTATTTTCGAAAGCAAAGCTTTGAACGGCCTTCAATGGTGTACTTCCATTCTTTAATTTTCTTACACTGCAACCAGGTGACACAAGGTAGGAAACAGCAATGGCGGACGGCCCTTGGAAGCATATGTAGAAGATGTGAGAAGAAGAGAGAGAAAGCAATGGTTGTGAGAACACATATTTAACTCCATAACTTTTAGAAGCAATGGTTGTGAGAACACAAGTTTTGAATTTGCTAGTGCTTTCAAAACATGTACAATATGGGTTAGGTTGGGCAAAATTTAAAAACATAAACCATTTTTTATTATGGTGTGAAGTCATGTATATTTTCTTGTAATTCTTTCTTTTATTTGTTATTTTAACTTCGAACTTTCGATTTGGAGTAGAAAATCGTTCTTATTATTTTGCTGAGCAATTTTTAATAGTCGCTCAAAGTAAAATAGAAGTTTGCCAAAATTTAACCAAAGTTCTCATTTTCCTAGATTTTATTACTACTTGGTTGTTTTTGTTCTAGTTTTTTTATTATCTTGTTGGTATTATTATTTTTTTTTTTAACTTTTTCACTGCTGTATTTCTTTCTTTATTATGTTGTGATTGATTATGCATACTTATTTCGAGCCGAGGGTCTATCGAAAACATCCTCTCTATCTGCACAAGATAGAAATAAGCATGTGTATACACTATCTTCCTCGACCCACTTGTGAGATTACAGGTATGTTGTTGTTATTTGTGTGAGTGAATGAATAAATTATGTACTCTTCAAGTTAATTAAATTTCTTAATATATTTCATGCTTATTGTGATTATTATCATTATATCTTGAAACTAATGCAACTAAGAACAAAAATATCTACACTTAACCGACTTAAATATTTCATGGTACAAGCCATAAAGATGCCAAATGGATATACTTTTAACAAATCGAATATAAAACCAAAAGAAGAAACAAAAAGAAAATTAAAGAACCAGAAAAGGATAAAAACAAAATAAGAACAATCTAAAGAAAGAGTTACAAATATTGGACTCTTGTTGATATGATTGGATAGCGAATAGAAGACACGTGAAATATGAGAAGCAAAGACACTTGTGCTCCACGCGTTTGAATTGAAGATGGCATTTTTTATCCTTTTATTATCTACACCACAGGAAAAGCAAAGACCAAAATTAATTTATAAAATCTATTTAAAGTACCAAAAATATCTTTAGCAGTGACCAAATTAAGTCAAAAAAAAAAATGGCAACTCCTGAAGAAAACATCGCAGCTGCAGCTCCGGCACCGGCGGCAGAACCACCAGCGGAGGAAGCTTTAGCGGCCGCCGGTGTTGACACAGCGACCAAAGAGGTTGAAACGCCGAAGGAAGTCAAGGTAATACGAACTCTTTTTTTTTCCGTTTTCTTTTGTGTTTCCCTTTATTTATTTTTTTGTGCTCAGTTATTAGTTTATTCCTATCTTTTACGTCGTTTAATCTTCTTTAAAAAATTGCTTTAAAAGCTCAAAACAGGTCAAACCATTAATAACTTGTTGTGTACTCGATAAACGAGAGATTGAAGTGGATGAGTAAATTTTCTAAATTATTTTTTGGTCCTTTTCAAAGGGAAATTCAAAAAAAAAAAAAAAAAAAAAGTAAAAAAAATTGTAGTACTCTAACTTTGTATAATTATTTGTTGTACTCAACCATCCCACAACAAAATAAGACAAGGTTAATTAAATTCACAACCTCGTGCTTTTGTTTTGTATGTACTTAACTTTGATTAAATTCAACAAAGTTGTGATTATGCACACCTGTAAAAGTATACTCCGGGAACTACTTGGATAATGTGGATATATTTGAATAGATTCTTAAATTTATTTTTAACTCCTTTGCACCTCGAGCTATAGGGTGAGGGTCACGTGCCCCCGTCAAGTTTGTATTGGGACAAATATTCCATTAAATATGCACATTTATGATATTATGAAGTTATTACATCAAAGAGCCAGGTCAAACGTGAAGCAACTATAGCGGTTGCTTTAGGCCCCAAAATTTGAGGTGCCCCTTTTCTTGAAATAATAGACTTTTTAAACCTTGAAGTTTCTTTAAAACATAATAGTCGCTCTAGTATTGATGGTTTAGATTTATTTTTGAATTAAAAAGTGTTAAATAGTAGTAGAAGATAATACTATTTAACACTTTGATGTACTCAGATAAAAAGATTTGATTCTTTTTCAAATGCTTATATTGCTTATATAATAATATTGACATTTCATTTAACCGTTGTCTCAACGGATAAAGTTTTTCAAAATTAAATTTGATAAATCTTATATAATATCAATAATGTCTCAAGCAAGATTAAATGGATTAGTTAATATTATCAATTGAAAAAAAATTATTAACTACTTTGCATCTCAAAAAGCTAGAAAAATAGACATCAAATAAAAATATATCCTTGAGTTTAAGGAATCCAATATGGCTTTAGGCTGCAATATTGTTGAGGGGCTCGCCCCTGTTACAACAACGATTTTAATTTGGCTTTAGTCTACAAATGTTTTTGAGCCGCCCACAACGATGATATAAGAATTTATCATAAATTGTTGTTACTTACTGTAACCTTGTCTCTTATTGAACTTGGGGGCAATAATGTGACAAAACACATGTCACTCTCTTACCCGGATTTGAGATGGACAGTGTGACAAAGCTCACACATGCGGATGATAATTGATATGAAGGTATTGCAACAAATACAGTGTAATTCCACCCGTAGAGATGCTGTTTCGGGTTATATGAAGTTATTAACATGTGAAAATTAATTTTGTTACAATTTTGCTTGGTTTTCTCATTCTTTAAATTTCGATCATGCGTAGGAGGAGAAGAAAGGAGGAGCACAGGATCTCAAGTCAACCCTTTTGATTTCAGGGGCTGTAGTAGCTGTGGTTGGAGCAGTTCTAGCTATTGTTAAGAAGGTGAAAGAGTCAGCTAATTGAATGTAGATCCTTTGTATCGCAAACTTCATATTTCCATTCGCAACTTCATTTTGTACATTTTCCCCCCTTTTTGTAAGACGAGCCTAAACTCTCTCTCAGCCTTGAAGGGAAATCAATAAATTTCATATGCTTTAATTATAATGTTCTACTAGTAATAATCTATGAGCTCTCTAGCTAATATAATGCGATTAACATGTGGTTACATAATAAATTTAGTGTGTTAACTACGAAGGTACTCGCTTACTGTTATAATTTTCAGAAAATATAGTAACTTCCTCAAATGGTAAAATCAAAGATGAATCACCTTGAGCCGACAGTCTCATGTGCATTTCATGCGAGCACTCAAAGGAAGTACGATATAAGTATACCTTAATACAAGCATTAGTGACTTATTTCACTGCTCAAATTTATGATTTATAGGTTACACAAAGATTGAAGTATGATATAAGCATCCTACCTTAATACAAGCTATCAAAACTGGAAGAAAGCCATTGAAATGAGCTTCAACACACACGAGAGAATTGGGACTGAGAGAGAACATCCTGGAAGAAACTGAGAATTCCTTATTTCTGTAAAACTAAATTCTGTATCATGCTTACTTATAAGCAAATGAAAGGAAGAAGAAAAGAAGATCTAATCTAGCTGGCAATGAGCTGGCCCACTAGCTACTAACCAAACCACTAACTACTCCTAACCACCTATTAACTGCTTTAACTATCATGTGAAATAATTAGGCATACAGTCTATTGTGTGTTACAGTGTGTGGGTATGTACATTGCTCAATACCCCCCCCCCCCCATCAAGTTGGAAGGGAGGAACTCACGCCCAACTTGTCAAGTAAAGTGGAATGATTGATCCCTGTGAGGGTCTTGGTGAATATGTCAGCCAACTAATCAGATGTAGGAATATAGTGTAATGAGATCAGTCCTTCCTGAAGCTTGTCTCGTACAAAATGACAGTCGACTTCTGTATGCTTGGTACGTTCGTGGAAAACTGGGTTCTTGGCTATGTGTAGGGCTGCTTGATTGTCACAAAAGACTGGAATTGGGAGAGATAATGGGACTGATAACTCTTCAAATAGTCTGACTAACCACACAAGTTCACCAACCACTGCTCTAACTGACTTGTACTCTGCTTCAGCTGAGGACAAGGCTATGGTGGACTGCTTCTTTGACTTCCAACTAACTGGACTTCCACCAAGTAGAATTAAGTAACCACTAACAAACTTTCTGGACTCTGAGCAAGCAGCCCAATCTGAATAACAAAAAGCATTGATATTGTAATCTGTGTTGTTAGATAGAAATATTCCCAGGTTTGGATCACCTTTCAAGTACCTTAACACATGATATGCAGCCTTTAAGTGAGTATCTCTGGGACTCTGCATGTATTGGCTAAGATGTTGCACACTGAAGGCTATATCAAGCCTGGTGTTGGTGAGAAAATTCAGCTTCCCCACTAACTTTCTGTATTGAATGGTATCCTCCAACAAAACACCTTGATCAGCTTTTAACTTGAATGAAGGATCAAGAGGAGATGACAATGGAGATTGTTGCAAGCAGTCATACTCCCTCAGCAGGTCCATAGTGAACTTTCTCTGAGAGATCAACACTCCATTCTCTTTATATAACACTTCCAACCCTAAGAAGTAGTGCAAAATCCCCAAGTCTTTGATCTTGAAAGATTGGTCCAAGAACTTCTTCAGAGAGTTGATCTCATCAAGATCATTTCCTGTGAGTATGACATCATGTACATATACTGCCACAAACACCATCGTGTTGTCCTTTTTCTTATGAAACAAGGAATAGTCCAGTAATGAGTGAGTATAGCCCCTAGAACACAGTGCTTCTGCAAGTTTTTGATACCACCGTCTACTAGCTTGCTTTAAACCATATAGAGATTTGTTCAACTTGCACGCTAAGCCTGGTCTCTCCATGACTAAACCAGGTGGTACCTCCATATAGACTTCCTCATGTAGGTCTCCATGGAGGAAAGCATTATTCACATCTAGTTGGAACATTTTCCAACCCTTCTTGACTGTTGTCCCTATAAGAGCCCTTACAGTGGTCATCTTTACCACTGGTGAGAAGGTTTCTGTATAGTCTATTCCAGCTTGTTGAGTGTATCCTTTGACCACCAGCCTAGCTTTAAATCTCTCAATGCTTCCATCTGCCTTGTGCTTGATTTTATACACCCATTTGCATCCTATAGCCTTCTTTCCATCAGGAAGAAGAACCAGGTCCCATGTATGATTTGTGTATAGTGCATGGAATTCTTGAGTCATTGCTTCTTGCCAGGCAGGATTGATGACTGCTTCTTCATATGAACAAGGTTCACACTCATGTGAAATACTTCTTACCATATGCTGACTTTCAGGAATCAATGCATGAAAGGAAAATGCAGTTTATCTAGCAAAAGGGCAGTGAAAGAAGTAGACTGTGTTTCTTGACTTTGGTTAGATGGACAGGCTTGGAGATTTGGGATTGAATATACAGAGTCTTTTAGATAGGCAGGTGTTTTGTGTGGTCTAGCAGGTCTACACTGGTTGGGACTCTGGTGCTCAGAGGAACTGGTGAGATCAGGAACATAGAATTGGTCCTGACTACTTGGAGCTAATTCAGTTTCTATGTTGCCACTTTGGTGCATGGATATGGGTGATGATTGGTCATGATTGTGTGAGTGCTAAGGTGACATTGCACTATGGCGTGATTCAGGTGACACTGCAATGGAGTGGTGTGGGGACTCATGAGGAACATCAGACTCAGAAGGAAAGACTGGAGCATTAGGGAATCCCCCTTGTGCAGAAGGAAACTTCCCAGGACAGGATATATTATTGAAATTGAAAGACAAATGGAACGGGAACACATTCTCACGAAAAACTACATCTCTTGACACATGTATCTTCCTTGTGACCAAACTTAAGACTTTGTAACCTTTTGAACCAGATGGACATCCCACAAAAACATGAGGAGTGGCTCTTGGTTCAAATTTATCTTTGTGGTTTTTAAGTGTAGTGCTGAAACATAAGCAACCAAAACTTCTGAGATGGGAGTAGTTAGGCTTTTTCTTGTATAGTAGTTCATAAGGACATTTGTTGCTTATGGAGGATGAAGGTAATCTATTTATAAAGTATGTAGAGGTGAGTATACACTCTCCCCAATATGTGAGGGGTAGTTTGGACTGGAAAAGTAATGCCCTGGCTGTTTCAAGTAAGTATTTATGATTTCTTTCTACCATAGTGAAAAAGGCCTTGATCACATATAGAGCATTACTTTTGCTGCCCAGAAGATGTGTCCAGGTAGATCTGCTATAATCATCTACAAGAGTTATGAAGTATCTGTGACCATCATGAGTAGTTACATGATAGCGGCCCCATAAATCAATGTGTAACAATTCAAAGACTTTGGTTGAGGTTGAACTTTTAAGAGGAAAGGGCAATCTTGTTTGTCTAGCCATAGGGCATATGGGACACATGAAGGGTTGTTTTGGAGCAAATTTAACCGGTATGGTTGAGATACCTCTCATCTTTACAAAAGGTACATGTCCCAATCGATTGTGCCACAAGGAATCAACAGTATCAACACCATTAACAAACACATTCAGAACAGAATGACCACTTCCTTTATTCAATTCTGGACTATGTACAACAGTTTGGGAATGAGAAGGCACTCTATTTACATGTGTGTGATGTGAAGTGGAAGAACAAGACATAGAATCACAAGTAGTACTAGACATAGACTTTGAGAATTGAAAATACAAACCATCAATTGCTTTATCAATCTCCAGAGGCCTCTTCACTGAAGGGGCTTGCAGAATGAAGCAAGCAAACTTGGTAAATGCAACTATACAGTCAAGCTGAATTGTTAAGAATGAACAGAGATTAGGTTATATTTGAAACTTGGCACAAAAAGGACCTTTCTCAAAGTGAATTTGGGACTAAGAACAACATCCCCAATGAGTGTCACCTTCACCTTATATCCATTTGGCAAAGTCACTAGGAAGGGATAAACTAAGGTTTTGGTGTTGGTTAACAAGGATCTTTTGAAGGTCATGTGGTTTGTGGCACCGGAGTCTAGGATCCATGAGTCAGTATTTGGTTCGAAACAATCATATGAGTGATCACCATGTTTAAAATAATTGCAACAAGTCACAGTACCTGCAAAGCTAACAGCACCACCAGCTAAGTTGACATTGCCAGAATTCTCCCCTGCATTTCTTGGTTGAAAGTTCTCCAGTAGATTCAGCAGTTGGCCATGCTGCTCCTTGGTTAAATTGTGCAAGTTTTGATCTCGCTCCTGCAACATCCCTTCTTCTCTTTCTCCAGTATTTACTCTATCACCTGGTCCTCCAAATGTATCTGCAGCATTCGCTCTTCCTTTGTTGAACTTATTGAAGACCTGTGAATTGTTATTGGACCTATTCATCCCTTGTGGGTATCCATGGAGTTTGTAACATTTGTCTTTGGTGTGCCCCGGTCTCTTGCAATACTCACAAAAAGGCCTAGGCCTGTTAAGATTGTAGTTTCCTCTAAAACTACCAGTTCTAGCAGAGTTTTGACTGTAATTCGTCCTAAAAGTGTTCACACCTGTGGTGTTTACATTAAGAGTAGTAGAGTCGATCATGACTTGATTGTGGCACTTGACTTCTCTCTGCTTCTCTTCCTGAATAAGGATGGAGAAGGCATGTGCTATGCTAGGTAAGGGGTTCATCATCAGTATACTACCCCTCAACTACTGTATATGATAGCATCAAGGACAATGATAGAGTTTTGGAAGCTCCAAGAAGGCCATTTACAAGATCTCAAGTTAAAGAATTGCAGACTAAGATTGCTGGACTTCAATGGCAAATAAAGAAGCTTTTAATTATAGAGGAAGAGCTCAAGCCCAAAGGAGATGAATTATCCAATTTATACAATTATTTGGTGGCCCAAATTGAAGTCCAAGAGGAGGAACATTGGGTCCCAACATCAGCCCTTGAAGTCCACCAAAAGAGCATCCAGAAGAGCTTAAAATGAGCTTAAAAGAGGTCCAAAAGGGGGTGTTTCAAAAGGAGCCCAATTGGAGTCCAAACCAATGGCCCAAACTAGTAATTTTAAGGCCCAAATCTGCCCCTAAGGGATTTGGCCGCCCACCCTCTTATTTTTA